AAGGCAGTACAACTGCAGGGATAGATATACAGCGGCAAAAGATTAGTAAAGATTAGATTACTGTTCGCAAATAGTTAATGATGTGGGTTGTTCTAGTTTTAGGGAAATGGGAAGATTAGCTCAGGATAGGAAAGAGTGAAGGTGCGTGTCCAACTAGTCTTAGGACTGACGACCTATGACTGGTGATGGTGGCTGATGATGATGATTAAAGTTAAATTTGTCGAAGATATATTCAGAGCATATTCTTAATATTAAGTTTTAAGTTAACTGTTCTTTTTGATAATAGAATTCAGTGGCGGCATAGTGTGAGAGGCGGTGGCAATGTTCTGCAGCAAGGGGGTGACAGTGGGTGGCTTTCTGTGTCCCTCCAGAATCACTGTCACTCACTTTAACATTAAGCCAAATGTCGCCAATTTCTTTTTTTAAACGTTAATGGAAGATGAATTTCGTGATATTGTTTCAAGTCTAACAAAAATCTATGATTAACTTTCAGAAGAGTATTATTTTGGAGATTTTACGACTTAAAAGCCGTCGGCATTTATTCCCAAGGGAATGTCATGTTGACCTAACCAATCTTTCCATTCTGTTCATCGAAAAAGAAAGGAAAGGAAATACTGTAAATTTAGTATCTATTGAGGGATGCTGAACAGGAAAACATCAGGAGTGACGCCAACCTATGTTGATAATCCAAACGTCTCAAGATCTTTGTGTTTGTTACCAGGCAACGCAAGAAATATTAGAATACCAATGTTTTAACTTTAATCACTTCATTTTGAGTTTTGAAAAGAGATTAGTGTATGTTTATAGAAGAATTTTCTTATTGATTGTTTAAATTGTTTCTAATAAGTTGTTTGCATTATGTATTATGTAAAAAATATCCTTGTCCCACAAATGTTCTTGATCATTTTTAGAAAATCCCAATGTATTTTATACGAAATAGTTAGACAAAAACATAATTAATTTAAGTAAGTAACAAGGATATCCGAATTCGCATTTTTGCCCCAAAAAATTCTATTTTTGTTTTACCTGTGTGGTTACCTGTGTTTATTTTCATTCTAAAAACTAATAATGTTTATGACAATAACTTGATTGCCTATTCAGTAATGTAAGTAATATTTTCTGTCATTTGTTAATAATATCCGCAATCCAAATTATATTATTTACTGTTTATACGCTGAATTAGTTTTATATTCCCTATTTTGAAAGGATTCAGAGAACAATACACGATCTAAATATACACAATAATTAATTAAAATATTCTATTTTTATGTGTTTATTTCTATACTTTTTAATAAATTTGAAACTGTCTACGCTTCTTAGAATAGCAAAAAAAAACAAATAACAGAATAGGAAACCGCTCTGTCATCTATTGTAATTCGTACCTGGAGTTAGCATATTTTAAAAAGTATCGCTATTCAAAAATCTTTTTGAATGTTTTCCTTATTCCTATTAACTGATGAAGATGAGACTGCAAAAGACGATCATATAGTTGTGAATTTAATGTTTAGATTAAAATCAACTGAAGTGAACAACGAAAGGTTTAAATATCCGTTCGTTTCTGATTTTTCTATTTTACGGTTTTTAGAATGTTCAGTTATTAATTTATTTTTATCCAAACAAAATCTATCATGAAAAAATATTTATATATCTGAGAGGCTGCAGAACTTTTTCGTTTAAGGTTTCAATTTTTATTATACAAGATAATGACATTTGAATCCATTAGTATAAAATGTACATGCTTCAGATAATGGATTTATCATCGATTTAATCTTCATTACTATTAATACGTTTTTACGTTACCTTTTTATAACGTTATTATAGATCTAGCATTGCCATTAACATAGATTAGTCATTAACATAAAGGAACGATACTTTTATGTAGAAATATATTACCTAAATCACAAGATTAGAGATTTTGGTTCGTTCTTAAACTTTTAGAGAAAATACTGTAGGTATTTCTGTACTCTTGATATAAGTTTTTCATATTTTTCGAAAGTTACGACTTTATTTAAGTTTGTTGTTGTTGTTTCAGTTTCTGCACCTCTTTTTTTGCCTTTACGCGAAAATTAAAAAATTACTTTGAAAGAAGTAAACAACAATTCAATAATAACACTTATTTACGATTTGGAAAAACTGAACAAGATTTATGAACAATTTTTTAACCACGCTTGCTCACCTACGAGTATTATCGTCGCGTGCATGCTGTTGTCCTCGTTCGAACGCGTCCCATACCTATATTGGGCATAAATAATAAAAACAATTTTTTACTTTAATTTTACAAATTTCAATAATAGTAAACAACTGCTTATTGCTTATGTAATGGATAGCGAGGACCATAATATAGATAAGTGAGAACGATCAAACTATTAAATTGTCTATTTTTATAAGGATTTTGACAAGTATTAATTTCGTTTAGTTAGTTCTTACTATTTCTTAGAAATTTTAAAAGCACCCATTAATTTGCAAAGTGGTTCATCTTAGCATATACAGTAAGTATTTACAATCTTACAACAAACCGCGATATTTTTTTAACCTCGGGGAGTTACTGCTCGTTGTAAGTTCGATGAACTTCTGCAAGAAATAAACAGAAATATTTTCTTGATGAAACGCACTCTAAATTCTGAATATATTCTATCACGATTTACGTGACCCTGGCTACCAATTTCTGAATAATTTCAGATCTTTACAACTTTACATGGTACCTACAGTTACGCAATCAAAGGAAAGCGGTATTTTTCAACCATCATATTTTGTATCGACGAAATTAATGTAAATAGCGGGTAATAAAATCTAAAAATTGTTTGTTAATATGGCAATTAATTTTATTTAAATAAATTAAAAACTGACCGAGGAAAAGTTTTAAAATGAAACTGTTATTATAAGAATTAACTAATAACAATACATATTTTCGCGATTGATTTTGAATATTGCCAATTCATCCAATTAGATTTTTAAATAGTCATCACTGAAACATCTAATCGTAAAACAGTAACTTTAAAAACAAGGTCGGGGTCACAATCGTGTGTGTATATGTATGTATACATTTTAAACATATGGAAACAAAATATATTACTTCTCTTATATTAAACAGATTATGTGAGTACAAAATTTCGAATCAATCTATTCTACAAGTAATCATTATCATCATAAAATCGTAAGTGTTAGGTCTAGTTGGACACGCACCTCCACTCTTTCCTATCCTGAACCAATCTTCGTTCCCTAAAACTAGAACATCCCACATCCCTAACCATTTATGAACAGTAATCTAATCTAGGTCTACCTCTACTCCTCTTAACTCCTGTTTCTGCTTTTACTAGTCCTTCATGCCTGAGAAGGTGTCCTACTGTCATAATATCGAGACATAACCATAACTTTTAAACAAGAAGACACTAATTTACGTTTTCCTTGTATGTACATTTTAGTTAAATGAAAGTCTATGCTTTTTGATGACATAGAACCAAATGTATATATTTTTATATAAATAAAAAATAAACTATTAAACTGTAGGTACATGGGTTTACAAAAAACACGTAATTTTCCAATTGTTAATGTAAAGTTCCTGTTCTTTTTTAATTCACAATATATAAAATGTATTAAAAATAAGCTATAAATAATAAATTATTCCATCTATTGAGCGACACTACAATATTTATCGAACAAACCTCGTATACTGTTTTATGTGAAATATGCTATTTAATAAAATTTAAAAACTTAATAATCGCGACATCTTCAGAAAATCTACCGACCTTATTAGTGTTTATAATTAGAAAAGATTAAATCGACTAGAACAAAGAGATCCGTAACTTAACCTAATTAACTGCATCAACTGTGTTAGAAAAAAACGACGGACATTCTAAAAAGAGCAGTATATCGTTACCTATAACAGATACATAATTTTTGTTATAAACGTGCAATAACAAAAAAACGCATAAGTAATTAATTTTCAACTAAAAAAATGGATTTATTCGATAAGGAAAATAACCATAAGGACGACAAGGAGTATCCTTTGGAAGCAGATAATAACAGATCCGTAAACAGTCCAGAAACTTCTTCGTCTGGAAGCAGGAGCATAATTACCAATTCTACTAAAAAAATTTCGTCAGATAACGAAACAATATCTTCAGAAAATGACATGTCTCGTGGTAACACAAATTATTATTTCTCGTGCAAATATTGTTCCAAAAAATTCTCCAGTAAATTCGCGCTTGATAATCATACTCCGGGACATAAAAAATCCAACAGGTGTTCGTTTTGCAATCGCGATTTTGTATCCGAAAAATATTTACAATTTCACAGGTTAAACAAGCACGGCGTTACAACCGATAACAAAACGTTGAGCTTAAAATGTAACATGTGCGAAAAAAAATTTAAGATACAATCCGATCTCATAAAACATGCATGTTCGCACAAAACGCTCCAGCATTATTTTTGTAACGAATGCCCGAAAGCGTTTATAACAAAAATTGCTCTGTTGAAACACGAACAGAGACACGACGTTGAACATCATCGGTGTTCATTATGTTTGAAGTCGTTTGCGAGAAAAAAAATGCTGCAAAGTCATTTAAAAGTGCACTACACTCAAACCCAAATCAAACAATGAGTTGTTTTTTGACAGTAAGTGGTCGACGTTTTTTTTTTTGGATAATTATTTTTTTTAAGATGTAGATTCAAATTTAAAAGTTAAATAAAAAATGTACCTATCATTAAACAGAGTAAAGTGGAAATATAAAAAGCAAATTCAAAACAAAATCTTTTTCTTCTTTATTTCGGCCAAATTATAATTTGACTACAAAAAAACATAGTCACATTTAAATCCCAGAAATACCTGCTTATAAAGATTGGACTTTTCGATGACGACAATTCTTGTTAATACATATACCTATATGTGAACGAATTCGTAAGTCATGAGAAAAAAAAGTATCCAGTCGTTTTTTATTTTAAAATCTCACAAAATCTCCGAAAATTGTAAATGATAAATAAGTATGCATGTGACACAAAAATATTTTCGATTATTTATTTACATATTAACAATAAAATACAAATATAAAACACTGCAACTGCAATATATCGATATCAATAATATAAGATCAATCACAAGCTTTAAGGCGTGGAGATTAAATACAAGAGTAACTGATAAAAAATTTATTAATCGTCATTGTCAGTCCAAGGGAGTAGGTCGAACCAGGATGTGAACGGTTGCGAAAAATTCATTTTTGATAAGTCGATAATCACCTAAAAATATTTCTTAAATCAAATAAGAGTCATGTAATGTTACGTATAATAATTATATCTAAAGGATTATGGGATAATCGTTTACTTACCCTCTTTGTTTATTTTATATCTAATGATTTAAACCTACCTGTCCAATTACATTCTTTCCGGTGCTCAAAATATGCTTTTGGGAAGCTACAGTAACTTCCAGTTGTTGGGTGTTAAGTCCACCTTGTGATATTAAATATTCGAAACTTTCGTCAAACACTGGATTGCAATTGTCTTTAACAACCTAAAAAGTTATATCTCATTTAATATCATAAAAATAATTCCTATTAGTACATATGAGTATAAAACAATTAGTAAATAATCTCACTTGTGTCTTCCTTTTTGTTTCTTTGGCTCTTTCAGGTAAGAGATAAAGCTTTACGTAAGGATCAGGAATATTCGACGGGTCCCTGAGTGGTATATTCCTGTAATAGATTATTAAATTAAACTTTAATAGCTGGGCTAATTTTAGCTTTGTTTTCATTTTAATATCTCCCAAAAAGCACGATAAAATATCGTCATTTTTATCAGCATATCAACAATTTTTCTACAATATTAACCTATAAATCGTATTTTTCAGGGTCAGATTTTATGGTATTTTTTTAACAGATCTAAATTTTACTTTTTAAATTTTAGAATAGATACCTATAGTAACGCCCAAATAGTAAAATAAAAAACATATTTTTGTTTAGAATACATAAACTAAAACAACTAGTGATATTATTTGAGTTGGTAGATACTCACGCAATCCTATGAACGACTACAGTAAGTCTCTGTCTTTGGATGCTGTATCGCAGGGTCAACTGAATACGACCTAGTCCTGCTTCACCTGCTGACCTACGAAAAACATCGCTAAATATTTTTCAAGTACCATAACATTAATTACTAACGATGTCGTGCTTGGCTGCCTATGATGAATACCCTCCTCAAATTCTCTTGAAGATGGTTTAGTCGAATCAAAAGTCGCTTTCGATTGTTCAATAAATTCTTCAACTGTTTCCTGCACTTGTTTTGGAGCCTCACGTTCTTGAACGAGGGATTGAACGGCATCTTCTAAAATTGAAGAAAAAATACCTACCTGATACCTAATCAAATAAATATAGGAAAATAGATGGTTTACCAGTAGACTTTTTAATAGTAGTATCGTCTGACTTTAGCTTGGACGAGGTTGAAGTCTTAGAGTCTTGTCTTTTTATCAAGGGTGTTTCATCCCAAGGGTCTGGTAGTGGCGTTTCTTCTTCTGGATGGTGTCTTTTTAAAATCTGCAATTACTTATTTATATAAAATTATATACCATTATGAAAATACTTGCCCTAAGATGCATGGATAAATAAATTTTGCTGTGAGGTCCAGAATTGCTCAGAGAAAATGGTTGTAGCGGTACTTCCAAGCCACTACTTTCAGTAAATGAATTCAAGTATTTCGTAAAACGGCCAAGTTCACTCTCAGTTTTCTGATCTATTATATGAATATATAGGGTGTCTGACTCCGGATTGGCAACCAAAAACGAATACCCTTGTTCCCAAACGGGATCGCTCGTTCTCATCTTTACCTCTGTTTGTTTGGTTGTGTTGCAAACCATCACCAACACATACGGGTCCGGTTTACTCTGCGATCGGGGTTGCTGATACAAAAGATAACATGTAAAAATATATTTTTTACAAACAACTACGAGAGCAGTCTAAAAATTTTGTGTGCAAAAAAATATCCAAAAATAAATAAATTAGAAAGTGCCAAATCTGGATAATACAGTAGATGTTGTAGCGCTTTAATTAATATTTCTGTTAATAAATTGTATACAAACCGGTAAGTTTTTGGCTGAGTCAATATACAAAGTCAGAACAGCTGTACTCATCGATGTTACACGTAACATTTGAGTTTCTTCGAGAGCCTGTAAAAGGAGCGTTTATTACTCAAAGTCTTTTACTTAAATACTTTTAAATCTTACAGCTCTAAGATCATTGTAATCACGACTTAATGTGAGCCACGTGAATCTCAAATGTACCATTCCATGTTTGGCTTGTTCTAAAGTAATCCACTGAAAAAGTTTGAGTTAATAATAAAAATACAATTTTGTGCTTACTTTATTCTCTTTACCATATCATCTTGTCCCTTTTTGACGACATTTTCAAGGTCGATTACAGCCCTACAAACCATAAAACGTTACTAAACTTAAAAAATTATGTTCAATGAACTGTAGATTTTTTCTTTGAAGCAAATGTAAAATTTGCATTATCTTTTTTTTTTTGTTTTTTTAATACTGTACACGTAGCTTACAGATTTTACATGATTTTTATGAAAAAATAAAGAATGAGTATCAAACCTACAGAAATTGTGTATCGATGTGTAAAAACAGTTTGTTAACGCAATTACAAGAAATAGTTAGCAAAATATTATTTACATATTAAATACCTAGTGCATAAGTTATATTAGTAGTTTCAAATTCTATTTTAGCAAATACACTTTATTAAGTGACAATAACCAAACACCAAAAGCAGCTATAATAAATTTGTTTGCAAAAAAATACTTAAGTCTTCCGTAAAATTTGTACTAAAATGACTTGTTTCAAAGCTTTTTCAAAAGCAAAAAATAAATAAATTATAAAACAACTTTTAAGAATAGGTACCTTTCTAGTTAGTACCTTTCAAGAATATTATTTTAGAATCTTTTAACGTTATAATATTGCTGCTATATTGTCGCTAAATTATTGATATTAATAAAAAAAAAACAGTAATGTAATAATATAATATACGTTTAAACGGCACTCCAGAGATGTGTAAGAGCATAGGCTTTCACGGTCAAAACCAATGGTAGATTTGTAATTAAGATTCGGGCTTATAGTCACGCTTTCGACGCAGTATCCCCTAAAGATGTCAGCAGCAGCTGCTAACAAAACGACTGAACCTAACAGTTCATTTCAACTACGGCCTAAAAGCCGAAATCTTATTCTACAACACTATAATCCACAGAAATTCCAAAGGAAAATTACTTACAATTCAGGATAAATCTGCTTTAACGGAATTTATAAATTAAAAAAATTATAAGATTTTGAGATCTACTTAGTTTATCTAAAAATTTTCTGTTTTTTTTTTATTTTTAGAAATAAGTCAGTATGTAGCTTGAAAAATATTTTGATATAGCTGAGACGATCAAAATTAGCAAAGTCCCCAATAAATTATCTTTGGGAATGGACGTATCTTCATTCTTGTTTCCACTTGCAAGTGTACTCATTTGCTGCGTTTTGAACACGCTCCTGTTTAAATTAGAAAATGCCTTATGAGTAGTACAGACAAAGTTAAAAGAAGAAAGTAAATGCGACAGTTTTATTACGGACTATGCCAATTTTGAACGTCTCAATTATAGCTACTGTGATTGATATCTATGTATATAAGTATCTTCCAAGATAATCATCGAACAGCATCACTATCAAATAAATCTAGAATTGGTGCATTCTACAATACTCTAAACAACATGGCATTAGCACAAATAAAATAGTAAAACGTTTAAACCACAAAACAAAAAATCAAGAAACACGTAGTTACTTAACGCAGCGTTCAAAAAAGCATTGCATATCTTAATTGTAAGTTGCTCTGAGAAACCAATTGTGTAAAATTAATTACAATAAGGAAAACAACAAAAATGAGCAACTATTAGAACCAATTAAAAGACCACTCGTTAGGGGACACCCTTTAAAATTAATACAGTGATGTATGTGTTTATATACCTTCCTAGATAATCATCGTTTTTACTTCCTACAACACCTGGATCAAAATCCCAAAGTTGAATTAAAAGAAGTTGTCCTTCTATAGAACTGACCATTACCTAAATAAAATTTTTTATAATTTATGGGGCACACAAATTACAACGAAATATTAACATTTCCCAAAAGTTTTCACAACATACTCCAAACAAATAAAGCCAAAGGTTTCGAAAAACAATTTTCATTTTACAATAAAAAATCAGATTAGATCCCACACATGCTCATAAAATCTAATTAAAATTAATAATTGTTTATCAATTTTAAATAAATCTTTATTCAAAAGCACTGTAAGATTAAATAATACCAATTGTAACCATGGATAGGATCACTATAGTAACTGTATAAAAAAATAAAGAATCTAACAGTTATATATAGCACAATGTATGTAAATGAAAGACATATTTTAAGTTATTATCAGGCGCTACTCTACAATATCTATGAATACATGTATTTGAAAAGCACTAAATAGTTACCTATATAAAAAGGTACACAATATGCCTTCCTCCACCTTTTCCCCAGAAAACATAATGTGTGATTAAGTATGAATTTTAAAAATCTACGTACCAGTAGTGTGTTAGTTTTTACTTTACAAAAGCTGGAAACAAATCTAATACCTCCTAAAAGCATATATCTACATGCTGCAAAGCAAATACATAAGTGTATTTCTGACACCTTTTACCCTTTATCAATAATGTCGTGTCCCGTGTAATTTTGTGTGTGTATGTATCTATCTGTAATTATGTTTTTCCTACCTTCCCAGACCTTCATTATCTGAAGTATCGTCAAAATCCCAAACATGGAGATAAAGCTGCTGCCCGTCCGATTCCATCACGGTTAACTAATTGTTAGATTAGGAAAAATAACATTTTTACTCCTTAGAATGAAATCCTTTAGTTTAAAGAAAGCAACCGACAAAAAATTAAGAACTTTAGTTATCATCAACTGCAATTTTTTAATTTCGACGTAATAAAATACCCAAAGAAATATAGTATGGTACCAAAAACATCCCATAAGTCATTCCGTCTTGTGCAATTTTGTACCAGTTCCATCAACAAACTAATCAAAAATAGTAAGCAAGCATTTCTTCTGATTAAAATGCAAGACTACAACTATTAAAGTTAGAACAACCAAATATTATTTATTTACAGGGTAAATAATAAACAAACCCATTAAAATACAATATATGTAAATACATATTTAAGCTGATAAATAAATAAACCAAAATTTAAAATTTAAAAATTTCATTAACAATTTAAAATATAAAATATTATTTATCCTTAAAATTATCTAATCGAAATCATTAATTACCCTGTATATTAATAATAAGCATGTGACAAATAAGATTTTTTTTCTAAAATTGAATATTGTCATGTTAAGCTAAGTGCTGAAAGCTCTAGCCTATAATTGGGTGCGACTTTTCTTGTGAAGTAGTAATTTTTAATTTAATAAGTTTTTCTGATAAATAATGAGTACTTAAAAATGCAGAATATAATATCTTCGAAAAAAAAAATTTTCCAAAATTTAATGTTGAGTTATTATTGAAGAAGTATTTATGTAGACTGTTGCTATTTATTTCATTATTCAGCAAAGTTTTTGTTATTGACACACTATAATACTAGATAAGCAAAATTAAATGATAGAACTAACAAGTGTAATTGAATAAATTCAGTAAAACTGCCTAAATATGTTAATTACAGCAAAAATTCTTTGTTAACGAGAACGACAAATTTTTTGTTACTTAAATAAACAATTTCAAATATTTGCAGTAGATTATATTTTTATGATCTACCATAAATTGCGTCAGTTCCGCTAGTATTCCTTCAAAAGTATTTTGCTCTACTAATACAAGCATTAATGAGTCAAACGATAACAAATTTTGTTTCCAACGGAAATTATTCAGAAACTAAAAATACTTGTTATGAATAGTTTACTTTTGTATGCAATTTGCGGTTGAAATCCAATGAATAAGCGTGAATAAATAACAAACGAAATCTTTTAACTCATAAATTAAAACAATTCCTAAATAATTAATATGTGAACATGCTAACATTTATACAAACAAAATTCTGTCGTTTATGACTTATTCCATTTAAGATGCAAAAAATCAAACCCGTCTCAAAAACCAGTTAATAAAAATATGCAAAATTTTTGCCAGTGCAAGTACCCAAAACACTATTAAAAAGTTTTACCTCACACCAGTAGTCCCATTTAGGATCGACGGTGTTGGGTATTGTTTTTGTTTTAAACTCTTGTGCCCCAACAGTAATAACTGCATACGGGTCTGATTTACCTTTACCCAGTAAACTGACATCCTTTTTCATTAAATCTTTAGCTTCAACAACGTGTACCCTAAGGATTCCCTACAAAAAAAAAAATATCTGCACACCACCACAGTGTACGACAAAATGCAATAAGGGAGCGTTGAAGTATTACGTAAACAGAATTTTGATTATGATAGATTCACACCCCCCACTTTATCAGAAAACTGTAGACTTCTCCCTTTCCATAATGTTTCTTTAGATATTTTTTTTACAAAATACCTTGACCAAAATACATAATTTATTTCTGTTTAATAGCATAAGCAACTTTGTTCCTACCGGGTGCTCCACAACACCATAAAGAATTTTTTTACTTACTTCTGGCTCGGGCCGAATTAATTCGGCAGCTTCAATTTCATCACTTAATTTAACAGGGAATTTATTGGGCAACACCATCATTGATGCTATTTGTTCTGTTACAATTCGTCGAAGCAAGTCTCTGAAATACATTAAATAATAATTGTTTTACACTATAAATGTCTTCCGTACCCTAGGCCTGGAAAATCTAGGACGTCAGCAACTCCTACCAAATCAAAGTCGATTGTAGGGTTATTCAAAAAGTAAACTTGTAAACCACCAACCAATGGGATAGACGATATAAGAGGCTTCATAACAACTCTCATCATTCCATGAAGCTATAGTATTATTAAATAGAAAATAATTAACTTAAAACGCGAATTATTAATTAAAAGGATTCTGAGAAAGTAATTTTTCAATTGTTTTTGTTATGATTAATCGCAACTACCGAACGAACTTATTGGGGTGCTCGCACATTCGACCACTTGTGGTCGCCACCAGAAGTAGCCACACCCAATGGACAGTATGTTGTATACAGTTCAAGTGGTATCGGAACACACGTTTTTTTTATAGGAATCATATTTTTAATTTATATTGAATATATCAGTCTAATCATTATTAGTTCAAATGGTATCACAAGCTGCAGTAGCAACCCTTTCAATCACTTGGAGCTGACGGCAGCCACTCCATTTCCAACACAAATCTGACCACTGTCGCTGGTCACCGTTTGAAACGAGATAGATTTGACGCAGTTACATTATAATTCTAAACTAAGGCTACCTCCCTATCAAGAATGACAGACCAGAAGATTTCGAAGATGAAATTTTTATTGAAGTAGAAGGGTTTTTATAGGAATCATATATTTAACTTAAATTGAATATATCAGCCTAATCATTACTAGTTCAAATGGTATTACAAGCTACAGTAGCAGCCCTTCCAGTCACTTGGAGCCACTCAATTTCCAACTCAAATCTAATCACTGTCGTTTGAAACGAGATAGATTTGGCGCAGTTACATTATAATTCTAAACTAAGGCTACCTCCTTATCAAAAACGACAGACCAGAAGATTTGGAAGATGAAATTTTTATTGATATTAAAGGATTTTTATAGGAATCATATATTTAATTTAAGTTGAGTATATCAGTTTAATCAGTATTATTTAAATTGTATCGGGTCACACATAGTCCATTCGTGCCACAAGCTGCGGTAGCGGCCCTTTCAGCCACTTGAAGCTGACGGTAGCCACTCGTTTTTCAGCTCAAAGGCAACCACTGTGGCTGGCCACCGTTTGAACCAAGATAGCTTTGACACACTTACATTATAATTCCTCTCTAGGGCTAACACCTTATTAAAAATGACAGACCAGAAGTTTCCGGAAATGAAGCTTTTATTAAAAGTGCTTTTTATAGGAATCAGCTTAATCAATATTACGTCCAGGTGGATTCTTAAAATTTATTAATAACTTTTCTTGCTTTCGTCTAATTCTTATTATTTTTAACAAATTTGAACTATTAACTCTGGCTTAAAATGTTGACCGACAAGCAATTTCGCTTGTCTTTACATAAGTTCCACATTTAAAAACAGCCGTTTCGTAAAAGCGTTGCTGACGGGGATTGATAGTATTTTGATTATTTAAAGTGATCAAAGACAAATCCCGGCTTAATTTATTTTGTCTTGTAATAACGACTACCGGCGACCACACGTGACGATTGCTAGTAGTCGATATAAGCCACTCGTGGTTGGTTTTAGTGGCAGCTGCAAGTGGCCGAGTGTGCGAACGGTCTTATAGTTCTCATGCTAACTATTGTTAGTAGCAAATATCTATAGATGGCGATATACTCCCTGTATTTTAAAAAATTTCCTTCAAAATACTCTAAAAATGTTATTCTCATTTTAAGTTCTTTTATTCACCTGAAAATTTTTTAATCCAGCTTTTACCCCTGTTATACTGAAATTTATATCACAGTCGCTAACATAGCTAAAAGTAAATATCAATTTTTCAGTTCTAAAGTATTTAATTAATTGTGTATTTCTAATTCAACTTACATTATATCCAAGTCCATTATTATTTCATTTCTGGAAACGTTTTTATCATAAACTTTCACACCTCCAATTCTGGGTGGCTGTAAAATAAGTTTTAACAACATTTACCTTATTTAACTGTTAATAGCGTCTTTTTATATTTTCCGTATAAATCTACTTACAATACTTCCTAGTATCATTTTTTCAAATTTGAATCCTGTTAATTTATATTTCTCCAACTTCTCCTTTACTTTTGGCTGAATTTTGTCTCTTAATAAATTTCTTGTGTATTTATTAACGTTTGGCCATAATTGTTGAATAATCTATAAACATAAGCTATAAATTTTTAGACAAACTTTTTATTCGTTTAGTACCTTATTCAACCATTCAGCTCGCTCTATGTCAGGAAAGAATACCTACGCGAAGTCAATATATTAATTAATAAATTACAAATGATGATTTTTTTACTATAAAAAGTAATATCAGTGTTTAGAAATATTAATAGTGAATCTTCAAACGGGAATCATTTGGGTACCTATTTAAGTGACTTCAAAATGAACAAAAAAGATGAAAGTTTAAAAACTAATGTTATCTTTATTTTTTGTCATAAAAATGATAGGTACTATAAAAATATATAATTTTTAATTTTGAATGATTAGGTTCTATTGCGTTTAAAATGTTCCACTTTTATTTCATCAACTCATATAAAAATAGATGCTCAACATCATAAAATTCCAATATGAACCACATTATTATCACTTACTGACACAACGCTGTTTTAATAGCAATTAAAAGTTGCTATTTTAAGAACGTTATTCAAAAAAATATTGGTAAACGATCACATCACTCATTACTAACGCAACTTATTATTGTTTATTTAATAAAAATGTAATCAAAGTAATTTTTTAACGGGTTGCTGTAATTATTGGACTTGAACTAATTTAAGATTGTTTTTAAGTAGTATGTTAAATTTAATAATTAAAAATGGATTTCCATCTATATGTTGACATTTATATAGAGCTTTATTTAAAATCATAAATAGTCCAATGAACTAATGGCTTTCAAATTGATGAAATAAAAACTACATAGAAATGCGTTTTACCCAGGGGTATAAAGGGTTAAACGGTGTGACGAAAACACGTCCTAGGTATAAATAAAATGGACAATTTCGGAAAACTGGGTCAGATAGAAGAAAAATTAATAGTATCTTTGTGGAGCAAGAAATTTGTTGCAAAAATTCCCATATAAGTACTTAAATTCACAGTTTAAACAATAAAACGGTTCAGTTCAAAGTTTAGCCAAATTAGCCATGTATAAACAATAAAATTGATACTTTATCTAGACCCAGATAATTAACATACTTGTTTTCGTCATTTTTTCAACGAATTACAAAAAAAAATGAAACAAAATTAAGGAAGCATAGACAAAATTGTTGTACGTCATCGGTAGCGGCTTAGTTGAAACTGTCTTCCTTATCATTTTTATTATTATAAGCAGGTATCCTATCGAATATTTCAAGTGTAAACAAACACATATAATAATAGAATTGTGGCTCGTGCTTAATCCTGATAAGCATTTGAAATTAAAGTAAACTAACAATTGAACAAGTCAAACAAACTATAAATACCAAATAATAATCGATAATAAATTACTTAAGATAATCTTATGTCATGAGTAATGCCTAATAAAGGTATTATCTTTAAAATTTGTCTAATCATAACAAAGTGTCATCACTGTATGCCTACAACAGGGTTTTATATTTATATTTATATTGTTTTATCTACAAAAATATTCACATTCAAGTAATTATTCCGCCTTAGGTAATCGCATTCGATTATGGTATAGAAGAATTAATTACCTTTATTTATTGTTATATGTATAGACTTTTATATTCAATTTCAATATTAGATAGGTACAATATTCCTTCTAAAACAGACCTTAGTAAGCTTACGTACCCATGCAGGTAAATCGTCCAGTTTGGCTAAAATAACTTCCTTTTCAGATGCTGTGGCCACTGCTTTTGCGATGTTACGTTTATATTCCTTTTGTTTATTTGATTGTTCCTTAATAAAATGAATAATTATGAAACCCAACGGCCATGCCACAGACCAATGTAAATAACCAGCCAAATACACCAGTCCTGCCAGGGAAAACTAAAAAGAAATATATTTCGCAATAACAAAAGAGGAATAATCCTTTTTTAAAAAGTTTCCTAATATTACTCTTGAGATACAATACGGCGTTTTCTGAATACATATAGTGAAAAAAACAGAAATTATATTTATTATTTGCAATATCATAAGAAATATATATTTAGTTATTTATTTATTTATTTATTTCTTGACAACTAGATGAATACAATATTTTACAAGTGGTAGGCTGGCAATAACTTAAAACTAAAACTTAAACTAAATGTATGTTTGCAAAATATGAAAGAAATTGCAATAAGCGTATGACACAGTTGCAAAGCAATATGTACTGTAAAAACGAAGTTTATACTTATATTTCCCTTTGGGTTTTAATAAAATTTAGATTTTTAACTTCTTTACTACTGCAAACGTATAATTAGTTGAACCGCTATTATAAAGTAAAAAAAAGATTAAAAATTTTACATTCTATCACCTTTGAAGTGTTAAATATTTTTCTACGAAAAACTGGAAATTATTTACGATTGCGTCTAAACAATAAAATATATTGTTCCATGACGAAGTTACAAAAAAAGAGGTATCAAAATATCTTCACCAAATAGGCATTTTCCATATAAATAAATGTCCCTTCAGTTTTATTTATTTACAATAAAGGAGTGGTCATATAGGTAGGTAGAACCAAGGTTGGATCATTAGAGACATCACCTCTTTACAATTATGTTTCAATTGATTGATTTGACCATGATTTAAACCATGACTTTTAGTAATGCAGTCGAAATATGATTTCGATCAAATAAAATTAGATACTCATTTTCAGTCAGACAATAAATTTTATTGCACTCTTATCATTTTTTGCTATTATGAATATTTCAAAAAAAAAAAATCTTTCTGCAAGCCTTGTAATATTTTTTCATAATATACACATTTCTGAAACAGTTTAGCTGTAATATTTGAAGGTGAACATGTGATATAAAGAAGGGTCTTATAAAGGGCAATTCGTCAATAGAGCAGGTGAGGGGAAATAGGGTCGCAACTACCAACTGTTTCTTGGTTAAAAAACTTTCGAATTTTAATTGCTCTTATTTCCAACTTCTAACGCTCAGATAATTTGTGGTTTAGATCTTAACAATTATTTTTAAAAGTAAATTAATTGTTCTTTAATCATTATTTACTTAACTCATCTGTTAAACTCTTTTTCAAAGTATCTAAACGTACCTAATAAATAATAAAAAATCGCCTGATACAAAAAATCCCAAACTAAAAACAGTTTTGTTAAATTTGATTCGTTATTTTAAAAGTTTTCCATTTGTATCTGTACGACTTTAATAATTCCAAAATGTGATACAGATGAACTAAAACAAGATATAAATAAATACCTTTTTCAAACCATCATACAAAACATCAGTTATATTCAACCCGCTGGTTTTCTTCTCTTTTTCTTCGGAATCACTCATTGTTGTTTTATCGAAACTGTTAGATAAATTGCATTTAAATGTTTATGAACTTATTACAGTCAAATCATCTACGTAAATTTACGTATACGTCGAATTTTTTATTCTAAATCCGGAAAATTGCTGTTACAAAAATAAATATGTATTATCCGTTCGTTGTCTCAACACTGCGTTACAACAAAACAATACCACACCTTTCACTGAATCTCGAAGCGCACCGTACCGGCTAAACATAAACAACGAAACGCAAAAATTTAAATAAATCGTGTATATCTAGGCAGGTATTCAGTCGTATACACTGGATGACATCACTCAATAAATTTTCTCAAGGAAAACGTTGTCTAGTTGCGCGCATATGTATGTACGTGAAAGCAAAGCAGGAAAATTCGGTCATCAGAGCACAATTCTGTACTCCACGCTGCGCCGTCTTGATCGAAACCGACACATATGTATAGTTAGAAACAAAAAATGTCGATTAATAAAATTGATATCATCTTTTGTAACAAGAACAGGCCAAGGCCGCTTGAACGCAAACAATCAGATGAGTCGAGGATGAGAGAAGCAATAAGGAATCATGCGAGCAAATAATAGTTTGTTTTTCTTCACTGAGTTTTGCGAAAAACAAAATTTGTTCTTAGTTATCCTGTAAAATTAATATGAATCATTTTATATCAATATAACAACAGACAGAAAAAAATATGTGTATAAAATAGACCTTTAAAAGATTTTATATGCATTTTAAATGTAGAGATATAATTAATAAATATAAAGTTTCGACCAGCACTTACGCGGTCTTTAAAGTAGATAAAATCAATTTGAAAGTATCTAATATTGAACTTTCTTACACCATCTATAACGTACTAACAATAAGTAGACATTGGTACTTTAAAACCTTTATTATACTTCTAATTAATTAGTTTTTTCTTCTGTCTCAATAGTTTTTTACGCGATGAATCGTAGCATAAAAAGTAGTTCATAAGTCTGTCTCTTCAAACTATTACTTCTTTCCTTTTTTACTATTGGAAAACTCATTCTTGGTTCTTTCTTAATTTGCACGTATTTATTTATCAAGTTTAGTCACAATGTTTTGAATGAACTGTATTTTATCCACTCAATAAAACTTTTCTGGAGTATAAAGTTAGGCAACCCATTCTTCGTGAAACTTAATCATTACCTTCATTAAGTGTTTTAATCTATTAATTAAGAAATATGCATAAGACAATATGTAAATTTATCGTGTATTATGTTTTTATTATAATATTCCAAAGTAACTTACAGATCTTTAAAACTCCTACCTAAAGTTTGATTTGTTTTATCTCCAATGTACAAAATCATTAAAAATTTGAAATTTTTAAATAAATGTAACAACTGCATTATCCTTTTATTAAAAATATTTGTAAAAAGATCGTTTTTCTTTCGAGTAAGATTTTCTTTTTACTAAGGCAACGTAAAATAAATAATATTGACAAAACATTGACACTTACCAAAACCATTTTACACGTGTTTAATAGATTGTGTAGGCATCTACGCCTATCGCAAATTATTTTTTGTTATAAAGTTTTAAATAGAAAAGCATTTATTAAAAATGGCAGCACGCTGTACCGATTTACCACTTTTACCCGGCTACTCGTTCGACCCAAAGGTAAAAAAGTTATTCCATACGTAACGCGCAAAACTTTTACAAAATATAATTTACGTATTGCAGATTGGTAGAAAAAAATTTAATAAGGAAAATGTATTTGATTATATTGGACCTGGAAATAGAGCGCTAATCGAAAAAGTTACGCCAAATCTGTTTGGTCCCTTGGGTGACAGGTATCCATCCTTATATCCAAGAGGAGAAGTTCCTGAAATACCGGCATGGATTGCTTACGATAAACAGGTCAATTAAATAATAATTTTCTCAATATTTAGAAGAATATGTTGCTAATCTTCCAAAAATAAAGTATTTGTTGTTAAGTTAAAATGATTTAAAAATGCTTTTTGTAATAGATCCTTCGTTTTGATGCGTTCTTCAGAGAAACCTTACAAGAATTTAGAGGTGGACATTACCTCATTCGAAAAGTGCGAATATATTTTTTCCTTGAAGATGGCACAGTTCAAGTTGCCGAACCAAAAACGGATAATAGCGGTATCCTTCAAGGTATCGCTCCATGACATCAATTACAAATAATCAGGCATTAATAAATAATTGTTGTTTTATAAGGGACTGTCATTAGTAGACAACGAATACGTCTTCCGGCTCCCATGGATGCCAATTTTTACGACATTACTGATTTTAATGTCGGTAGAGAAGTAGAATTTTATGGAAGAGTTTTTAAAATTGTCGACTGTGACAAATTTACTAGGGTATTCCTCAACAGGGTTGGAATATCGGTACCTGATCCAATCCCGATGCCGGATGATCCTTACATGAAAATGAGATCTAAAGAGGGAGAAGCCAGTTTGCCCAAAAAACCTAATCGAAAAGTAGATAAATTGGGACAATTTTTAGCAAACGATCAAAAGGTTCGAAACGTATTTTCGACTTTTAAAAGATTATCTGAATAAACCATGCTTACAATAAATCTTATTAAGAACTAGTCCAAGTCATAATTACGATTTTTATCAATAATTTCATTTTATAATAATCAGCCAGAATCCTATGCTAGATTAACCTTCTGAAATCCATAACTGAACGTTTTATATCCATCAAAAACTGTAATAAACCGACCGGTTTCTGATTTTACTATTCTAAATTTACACCATTGTACAAATAATGTAATAAAACGTACAACTTGTACGTAAATTCTACAACAATAATGAAGTTTATATCTAGTTTTAATGAAGTAAAAATTGTAATTAGAATTGTTATTATGCATTCAAGGAAAATTCCGCGATCTTTACAGTTTTTTTTAATAGGTCCTTAGGTTTTACGGATATTGGGACGATCAAGAAACGCAATTTGGTTATTTCCACAATTTGGAAATCCACTTTTACCTTGCGGACGATACAATAGAAATCAAAGAACTTCCAGACAGCGCAGGTTCTCATACCGGATTCATGTTTTTAAGTCGTGAGAAACTGCCAAAAGTTTCCCACGGACTTCCGGCACCAGGTGCCCAAGACACCAGTATCCTTCTGAACGTCCTGGGAGAAAAAGCATCCGAAATGCGATACTTAAACGACGCATTAAATTGCGGTAAAGAAGACGTTGCCTACTACATGGACAATGATCTTACCATTGGTGGGGTTATTAACGTTTATGGAAGAAAAGTTGTGCTAACTGATTGCGATGAGTATACCAAACAATATTATATGGCTAAATACGGCGTTAATGACTTTACTCCTCCTGAAAAACCAGAGGATAGAGATGCCGCTACGGAAGATATGTTATCGAAAAAGAGGGAACTGCCTCCTTGGAATGGGTATGGTACATATGAAGATTCGGCGCAAAATTGTATCTCTCTTGAACCCAAGGGTCCAAAACGAGATTTTACGAAATTTCTCAAACTTGATAGGTAAAAAATATCATAATAACTTCCACCGTTAACAAAAATTAACTAGAAACGTATTAGAAGCAGGAACAGAATGTAGAATGTAGAGAAGGGCACAAGTAGACCTAAAAATACATATTTCTTTAACATGCTGTTAATTCTTTTACATGTTACTGCTTTTTCTTTGAAATTGTTATCGTAAAAGGCGGAAGTAGTCGAATCAAAAATTGAATATCGTTTCAGGATTGGCATGGACAGCCACATTTTAAGATTTGCGGCAAGAATGATATCGAAAATACCAGAAAACTGTACAAGGAAATTCATAATAAATTATTACTTAAACGATGATACACTTTCAGTATTCGAAATAGCAGAGAGAAATTCAGGTAATTTGAAAACCTACGTTGTAAATGAAAATTTTATTTTAAGTAAAAAGAAAGTGTAGGTACAGTATCTAAAAATCCAAAAGATATCGTAAGTTTTGCAACAAAAGTTACAAAATAAAAAAACTTATTAGATTAAAAACATAACATTTTAAAATATTAAGGATTCGCCACCAATCAGTTCCTTGGAAGAGGGCCCGTAATGCTTCCTGGTCAAGCAATATTTGTGAGTGACCCTCCGAAGAATTACACAGCGCAACACATGTATATAGGGGCGACACTGCTAATAAATTCTTTTAAATTTGTACTAGTAGACGCTGATGAATACGCTTTACGTTACATGGAAATTAATTCAAACGAGGTAAAAATACAATTTGAATCATATTTTCCACAAAAAGTTTTTCCAAATTTTGAGTTCAATACTTTTTTCTGTTCAATTGTTGCTCTATATCTGTTTGTTTGTTAAGAGATTCGTATTAAATGGGGTGAATGGGTGGAATTAAACGAACAATAATCGTTTTCAAAAAGTCTGTTTTCAGTTTCCAAAATCAGACATAAACATCGTAATGGACAAGGTACGGCAAGCATTAAAGCCAATTTACAAAGACTTTGTAGCAGAAAATTTACCAGTTGAAACCCCTGTTATAACATATGAAAAATTAAGGTAACATTATCCTCTCAAAATTAAAATAAAATAAATATGTATTGATATACCCTTCTGTAGTGTAAGTAGCGTAATGTACATCCAGATAGTTTTAGTTTTTGTTTTTCAAAATTGAGACTAAAATGCAAGATAAAATCTTAAACTTATCTCGAGTGTATATATCAAAATTTTGTCAATAAATCAAAATTTATACCTAAATAAAACGAAAATTAATATAAGGGACTAATAATGAAAAAACAATCTTATCATGCAGGGATAAAATTTGTAAAATATTGGGAAAAGATTTCACAGAACACGAAATGGTCACAATATCAAGGGCATTTTCGGCTAATTGTTTTAAACCGAGGTACAGCAGAGAAGACATAAGGTAATAGAAACTTTTTATAATCCTCTTTATCTTTGATATCTGACTTGAATTTGGATCAAAAAAAATCAGATTAAATTCAAGTTTCTTTAAGTAACTACGTACGCGACGAATTTTCTTTTTCATATTTAAAGGGCGATAACCCTAACCGAACTGAAGAGACAATTATGGGACGATATTGAGAGAGTGACAGAATACTTTAAAGCTCGAGATCCATGTAGAACAGGGATTTTACCCCGAAAAGAATGCTACACTTTATTAAGAGCTTGTAGATTACCCCTTGATAAAGTTCTTATTGAGAGAATTCTCGATGAGTAAGTGATAAAAGTAATTCTACCAATTTAAAATACTCAACAACACGAGGCAGACAGATACATAAAAAATATGAAGCAAGTTAATTTTAATTTAAGTTAAATTAAGCACTTAGAATGGATAGTGTACTTTCTAATTGACACTTACCTTAACAGAAAATTACAAAATTAATTTTTCACTTCATAGATATATTCAAATAAAAGAAATGTTCAATATACAATTCAAGAGTTATATAATTGTCATTTTTAGGATGAAAAAAGATGAAAATTGCAACATATATTACAACGATCTGTTAGACTTTTTAAATAGGGAAAAATGCGGCATGATTGATGTAATACCCATAAATATTAAGGTGCGTGATAATAAATTGTACGCTATTTATTTAAATTATTTCACGTATACCATTCACAGAATGAATTATGGTTCGATTCGGAAAGGGTGCCAAGAGCTGGATCTCTAATAGATTGGTGTGCCTTCAATAAATTTTTAGATTTGGAAAAAACATTTCAAGAAGGAATTGGTCCAATAGAACACCATTAAATTTACAGTTTGGATAAAACTAAAAAAATCATATACTCATTTTATACAATTCATATCGAAATGAATAAATGTCTTATCAGAATGTGTTATACAATTTGCATTTGCCTATGTGATAATTTGTTATTTATACGTAAATTATTTTTATTAACGTTTTATTTGTAAAAATTAACTGAAGAACACAATTAATAAAATTAACATCACGAAACGTTTATTTCTTTAGAAGTTTTTTTAAAGCGTAATAAATTCTATTTCAAAGTTACCGAAATTCATACAGTGCATTTCATTATAAAATGAGTGCGGAACGACTGGTCGATTTGGGGACCATCATTGTCGAGTTCCAAGATTTTAAGATATAACTCTCACCCGCGCTATCTTTAGCCTAAATCATAATTCCACATTATTTATTTTGAAAGGAACTTTTCCGGGGCGTAAAAACATGTTTAACTATTATATTTATGTTAAAATGGATGTAAATAAATGAATAAAACACGATATTGGTATCATAACTTTATTTATTATCACGATTAAATTCTATCAATTCATAAATTTATTTTTAAATGTATCATATTCTATAATGTAATTACAAAGTACACATCGCGTTCACACTATTTATTCCTATCAATGTAATAATAGTTACATTAGCAAAACAACAAAATCAAAACATTTATTCAGCTTTTACTCTAAGCCATATACGTGGTATAACATTAAATCAAACTGAAGTAAATCGATACATTTAACTAAAATCACGATCTCGCAAGATTATCGGCGCCAAGAGGGACCAAGCATACAGTGCTATGCCCAACCAACTGGAAATAATTTTCACCCACATTGATGCAGCGTTGGCATTCAAAGTGTTCAGGGATGAATTTGGTCTGAAAATGAAATGTTTTACATAAATAAACTTATTTCTCTTCAATAGACGAAGTATTTGCTCCTTTAGAAGTTAAAGAAACTAGACTTTTACTCTATCATTGCTCTCCAATTTAAACATAAAAGTAAAAAAAATTGGTCTGAGCACGCTTTGGTCGGTGCTAATACGACTAACTTCCCATTAGATAATACAGTTATTATTGATTCCGTAACTTCATTGTTGTGATTAGATTAGAACGTATTTTAATTAAATTGTTTGTAATTAATTCGTTTTTTTTTTATAAAAAAAAAACGGCTTGACCGATTTCGTTCAAATTTCTTTCAGATCTTCATTATGATAATATCTTTCGAAAAAATTTTGGTTGAGGGCGATATCTCAATCCGTTCTTGAGATATCGAAAACGAAAAAAATGCTGACATAAGAACGTACGTACATACGTACGTACGTACGTACGTACGTACGTACATACACACATCATCAAAAAAATTGGCTAGCATGCTACTAATATGTTAAAACGTGGAAATATAATGAAAATTCCGATTTCACTTTTCGACCCAATTACAATAACTTCCTAATGGGAAGTTAATAAAAGCAATAACTAAAACATCTTAAACAGGAATAAAAAGCACTTTTAATTTTAATTTGAAATTTTCAGTAAACCTTCAGTCTTTTGTGCATTCTCAAAAGGTTTACAATTATACTTTGTAGTTAAAGACTTTTGGAAATTTCTTTCCCACCAGCTACTATACTGGTGGGCGGGCAGTCTCTCTGACCTACAATGTAGTATAAAGCCGGAAAGAAGAGCGGAAGGCTTTCTTCAGCCTCTTAATAGAATTCATGAAAATGAACGAGAAGTGAAAGATTAAATTATCTGTGCATTTGTCTAAGAGATTCACGGGAACCTTATCGAACCGAGCTTTTAAAAAAGAGGAATTTTTTTGAGAAAAGGAATAAATGATAAAACAACAGAAATAGAAGAAAAACATGGAGGTAAAAATGATATCTAAGGTCGAAAAATGTGAAAAGTTGCATTTCTGCAGCTTAGTTATGTAAACAAAAAACTACTTACTTGTACCAGTTGGTCAGAGTCATCATAACGTACAGAGTTGCTAATGCAAACATGACATGAAAGAAAGACCAGCTATAGGTCACCTCGTCCTCTTCATTGTCCCACACTTTTCCACCACTCTCTCCACCATCATTTGGGTGCTCGTTACCTGGTATGGGTACATAGCCTTATTTATTTAAAAAATTATTAATGATAAACAAAAAAAAACAAGCAAATGAATTACAAATTAACACAATAAAGCAAAGGTTAATCGATGTTATTTTTTCCTCTGACAAAATAAATTAAAAAATTCCATGGCATGTCCTTAATCTGGATTAATTACATGGTCAGTACTGTAGAAAACAAATGATTACTGCTTCTATCAACCAACTAAACCCCAATTAAAAAATTTTATCAAAATAATCTTCCTTCGCAATATTAAAAATACGATCTTTTAGTTAAACAGCTTCTTACTTTCTTTTATATTGATTCGTCGCTGATTTTTTTTGCATAAAATCTAATCAATTCTCAAAAACCTTTGTGTAAAAATCCAGATTATTAAAATTGCCAGTAAATAGCACGATTTAATGAAAATAAAATTCATAAAGAAAGACTAAAGATTACATAAAATTTAACACAAACAAAATAAAACAAATGATATTAACACCACAGCATTATGCATGTTCATTATAAAATTACTGAATTAAATATGCACCATACCTTCATTGTCAACAAGCACGGACTTGTCGTTGCCTAAAGCTAGGATAAAATAAATATGTTAGTAAAAAATGTGGGTTCTTATCAATTATATGGTTAAATTAAAAATTTCCATTAATAAAGAATATGTAAAAGGAAAATAAATTGCTCAACAACTAAAGATATGCATCCTGATGAATTATATAACATAATTCGAAATAAAAGGTAATAATATATTTTTATATATTACATCTAAAAAAAACGTCAATGAAAGAAAACAAAAGATCCAGTACATCTACATAATGCTATGGGATTAGCAAAGAAGAAAAGAAATTAAAACAAACCAAAAAGCAAAGGAAAGGATTTAAAAATATTACAGAAATTAAAACCCACCTGATTTATCATTATCCAGGACTTTATCGGACATTGTCAGTTTGGATGAACTGCTTGCAGATCTTATAGATGAATACATTACACATAATAGCCAAACAATTAATCCAATAATACTTTCTTTGTGAAAACCAACTTGGTTTGTTGCACCAGCTCCAACTATTCCTAATAAACCAGGGTTGCATTCTTGATCTAGAAAGAAACAATACATTTAGTTTTTCTATTACCAATTTTAAAACATATATTATTTATTCCACCCAATTCTGTTTTTACATTACAAATATGCTACTGAAGAAAAAAACATAATAAATATAGGGTTTAAAATTCAAAGGGAACATTTGTACTGATGACTTTTTCAATCAAAACAAGTTATAAATAGATTCCAAAGTTCAAATTGCTGATGAGCTTTTAAGGAACATTAAGAGTCTGCAGGAAAACATTTAGTGATGGGTGTATGTACTCCTCTTCATCATCACCATCATTATCAGACTTTTTAGCTGCTAAAGGCATTTACTTTTCATTTGTGTACTTTCTTGCTCACTACCTCTTTACAGGTCAATCTCAGTAGCCTCTTCTTGAATAATTGTGTTAAATAAGTAAAAACAGTGCAAATAAAGAACATTTTTTATCATTTGTAATAAACTAAAATCATGTAAAAACACAATTGAGTGTACCTACGAATCAGTTACAGAGAAAATCTAGTTACCAGGAGAATTAGACACAGAGGACCATGTCAGATAGGTGACATACAAAGAAAGTACTGAAGACTGCAATAATCCTGATCGTGGTAATTTCTCTTGTACAGCAGGTAAAATGGAAACAATACTCACTATCACACAAAGTATTAAATTAAATGATATAAAGAATTTGTTTAAATCACATGAGTGTGCCTGGAAAAAACAATGTGTTTCAGTTATTGAATCTAATAAGTGCTTATATTATTTAAGGTACCTTTGTAAAGTTGATGAACAACAAAACAATTCCTGCTATTGTAAGAGCATAGTTAAGAAAAGTGCAAAATAACAGACCAATATACCACTTTTTAGATTCTGTCTCTTCATAATTTCCCACCCAACTCTCAGCCCACGAATGAGCAAAATCAACAATCAAGATTAACTGAATTAAAATAAATAAAAAACCACCAATCATTCCGAAATACATCCATGTTTGTCCAAATGAGCCTTCAGGTATGAAAAATGCTCCTATGATGCCACCAATTATCAACATATACTTCAGGCCCCAAAAACTAACAAAAGAGAAAACCTATTAACAATTACAATCTAAATAAACAATAAATACTACAGTTGTTACTATATAATTAGAATATTTTTCTTATTGTTAGAATATAGATTAATAAATAGTAATATCTTATACAACTTACCCATTCTGTATACCACTTCGATGGTCTTTTGAACTTTTTACTCCTAACATTAATATTGCCATTAAAGCAAAAAATAAGGTATAAATGAAACATATTCTATAAACTGCAAGGTAACCAACAGCACTTTCACAATCAAATACAACAGAATTCGGCAGTAGACTTGATGATGAATTTTTACAAAACGGTACTTTTTTCAAAGTATCCTGCAGCCCTGGGGCTAATGTTATACATGCTGCTATTGTACCAACAACCAACATAATGGCATACATTATCCTTGTTGAAGTTGAATTCTTACAGGAGGGGCATGCTGAACAACACAAAGAACATGCTGCACTTCCGCAACAGCACGCCAACTGAAATGGATTATTAAATTATTATTTATAAACACGGAAACAATATTAATTAAATCCATACTTGAGCAGCAGAACAAAGACCTAGAACTGCCCCCATATTCACACAATGGTAATTTTCAAAAAACACAACTAAACACTGTTTCTGAAAGTTAGAAAGCCAACCTCTCTTGTTCAATGATCAAACTGAAAGTAAATAAAATACTTTTTCAATAATTATACACTTAATTTACAACGAAATAATCAATTGTGAAACCAAAACAAGGAAAAATGTCAATAGTTTGTTATCAATGAAATGTGAGTCACTTGCTTATCTATGGTCACCTGATTCAGAATTACTCTGTAGGTTTCATTTTTTTAATACTATTTACAAGTTTAAACACAGAAAATTTTAAAAAGATAATTTCTAGGTGGTCTATATTCAAATATGAAATTCATGAATCAATTTTCCGTTTTTATTTTAAAATTTATATTACTACAGATCAGTTAACATTCTCTGCAGTTGGTCATATCCTTTATTTATTTGTGTTTACTTGTCATTCTTATAATATAACCTCATTTTATTATTATAACCAAACTTTCTAGCTTGATAAGAAAAATCAAATTTTGTAAAAATGCCTGCTACAACAATTCACCGGTTAATAGTAACGATAGGCTTCTTATCTCTATTTCATGCAGCTTACTCAGCAGCTCAACGTAAGTTAAAATGTTAAACCTTAGCCATTCTCTATTTACCATTCTATTGCAGATCGTTCGTACCTAAGACTAAATGAATTGGAGTTCACACATTTGCCCTCAGATGTAAGTAACTGTTTAATAATAGATATATATTTTAATTTTCCTTTACCTTCAGATAATTGCTCAAGGGATTATTAGTTTATTTGTGATCATGTACGGTGTAATGTACGTTGCTGGGGACTTCAGAGATATTAAAGCATCAGCAGATTTAGAAAACAAAAGTTGGGAATCTTTTCGTAACGTCCCTTCTTTTTATACTTTTAACCACAGAGGAAAGGCTTTTTCACCGACTTATGTATCAATAACAAAATCTGCCTTGGACGAAGCTGAATAATATTAATGCATGATGTTACATTAATTCTTTTTATATCTCATACATGTAAGCTAACGATAAGTGTTAATAGTTATGATTCATTATTTATGGCTTTATTTTATTCCTTACATTTGTGATACAATAAATTAGTAGTAATTGTTTTACCTTGTAGTTTTACTAATGATTTCTTTATTAATATAATGTGCAGAATCAAAGCCCCTACACTAGCTTTATTTCTTCACATTCTTCAATAAGCAGAACAATGGAAACATTTTTAAAGAAATTTACTTGCTAACAAAATATATTAATTGTATTTCTGTATTTTAAACACTTTTTTAATGTAATATACCGATTTTAGTTTTCTTAAAGNCCTTAAATGTAGTTAAGTTGTTAAAATTTAAAAAATATCACGTGCCTCAAAAATACTATAAATGCAGTGCAGATCTGTCTAGGAATCTTGAAAGGGATCAGAATACTTATTGTTTTACTATGTGGAGAGACTAGTAAAGTTTCTTCAGTTGTTCGTAGGTAACGAAAAATATTATATTCCACGGTCCCATACGAAACCAAGTGGGAATAAATCCCTTGTAAAATGCCCAGAAACCCTCGTTTTTAAAGGTCTGCACAAAACAGTCTAATGTTCCAGTGTAAATAAAAGCTGGAAGGGGTCCTCCAATTTTCTTTAATTTTCTTTGGTTCATTAACCTCGTCTAAAAAAAATGCATTAAGCCTATTACATACTCCTCTAAATCTTATCTAAACTTACGTAGATATGTATATTTAAATATTTATATTAAATTTATTTAATCCAGTACAACTGTACTTCTTTAATTCTTTTACAACAGAACGTATTACAATGTTTTTTCATATCGTCAACTTCATTAAAAAATATGAAAGCAAATTAAAAGTTATATATGTATCAATAAACATTATGATATTGCAATATTTAAATTCAAAAATATTTTGGTTTTGAACAAGTAATCTATATTTTTTTTTTAATTATATGATAAAATATTAATGTGACAAACAATTAAGTTCTTAAATAGTTTGTAAAATAAATCCATGACGTACCTAACGTAAATAACAATTTGGTAATTTCATACCATACATAACTAATTTAATCAGAAAATACAATCTTGTATATAAAATGTTTGCAGGTATGTCCGGTTTCAAATTCTCATATTAGCAGTAAACCAAAAATCAAATTACACACACATACCTATATAAACGATAAAAATATAACGGGGATAAGATAAAATTCGACTAGCTATTTGCAGTATTACTGACTTTGATAAAAGAAATACTTTGTCGACAGGAAATTGTCAGATTTTATCACTTCACAAAGAAGTAAATTAAAATTAGGTACACACTGTTAGGCGCTTTTAAATATATAAAAAAATACCTAAACTAAATTAAATCTTTTAACTCACCCGAATAACATCAATAGGGGTAGAAGCAACTGCACTCCCCAAACTTGCTATGAAACTGGAACTACCAAATAAAACAAAAATCAAAATACAATTCAGAATTGGTTTACTATTATAGTAACAAATTATGTACATACCTACACAAAAAACGAAAATACAAAAATGAACAAGTGTTTTAGGGATATTGTTTTCAAATGGCTAGTTTCAATTAAATAATTAGCTCCCTCCCTTTTCGTATAGTAAGTGTCATTATGTAGTGATTATATCGAATTTGCTCTATTTGTATTTACTATAAGTGTATCGCTTTTTAAAGCTTATTGATATTCGTTTCTTTAAGCGAAGATTTACTTTGTTCACGGTATAAAGTTGGCTTGCATATTTAATATACTGTTCACGTTATGCGGGGTTTCCGTTATACGATTTGACACTTTCGAGTGTCCCAGTATATTCAAAAGAAAGTATGTTTTCTTGAAATTTTAATTAATAATGAATCACTGAATATGAACATTTCCTTTCTCAGACAAGATTATTTTAATAACATACAAAAGATATAGTCATATAAAACGCCGAAAATATCTTGGACAAACAGCAAAGCCTGTACAATTCCCTATCAAAAAACCGTTGGCGGTGACGCAGACAATATTAATTAATTTCCAGTATATTAACATATATGTNATCTCTATCTCCCATACCACCTCCAACCATTTAATTTAATTATTTTTTTTATTTTTTAATTTAGTTAGTGCTGAAGTATGTATAGGTTAGAACTTAAAACCACCCAAAGCAATACACGTACAGACAGATTTAGCGAGCGCAATGCAGTAAATTTTGCAAAGTATGAGACAGTTAACTATCCCAAAAATTCACAGCCGAAAAACTACAATTTGACGCATACTTAAGAAATTATTTTTAACTTGCTTGCAGTAGTATTTTGCTAAAATTAGGTTTAATTTTCACAGTACCAGTATACCATGTTAAATTACGTCAAATTGCCGCTAACCCGATGAAAACCGGTTTCACTTGTATGCTTTTGTCACAATACAGTGCACTTATGTAGGTTGCTCGTCCGTATCTTTGGTAGTATGAATCTATAATTATAAATCGTAATTAGAAACGGTTTTCAGTAGAACGGCAACCTGCTGTTACTACAACTTTAATACTTTGCGGACTATATTTGTTCTATCTATGTGATACAAACACACAAATACAATTATTATTAATACCAATCATACGTGTCCAAACGTCAATGTTGTTGGTATAACCGTATAACGCACTAACTTATGCAAAAAAATGTCTCTGTGCATGGTGGGTTGCATAAAAATAGTTCTTTTTAAACGCAGAAGCGGGAAAAACGTATTAATTTGAAAAAGATCATTACAAAGCTGTAACACCTCTTTTTTCAGTTTCTCACCTTATTACTTCTTATTTTAAAATAAGATATGGCAAATGAATTTCCCGCATTTTTCTTTTATTTCCCTCCTTAATATTCGTTAATTTATATTTAGAAAAAAGGGCTTGATCCCCCAAACGTTATTAATTTATACAAAATTATTTTGTAAGGGTAGCACGTATGTTTCTTAGGAGTTTACAAAAATCGGCTTCTTCCATAAGGGCGAATAAAAAAAACAATCAAATAAGAAAAAACTTTAATTAATTAGTAAATATTCATACAACTTTTTTATTAAATTAAGAATGTGATCTTCGAAATCGTCTAGAAGATGTATTAGATGGAGTTCTGCTTTCGTTGTTGACCTGTTTTTTACTTTTGTGTCTGTGTTCATGGCGATGGCCGTTGGAATGTTCACTTCTTGTACTTCTACTACTCTTATCTTTACTTTTATTTCTGCTGTGACTTCTTTTCCTCTTTTTATTTCTCGATCGAGTTCGAGATCTTTTCGATTTAGAATGGGAATGTTGTTCCCTAAAATGTCTGTGATGACTTCTATTTTCAGTAGGAATTCGTTCAGGAGATTCTGACCATCTCCAATGCCTAGTATCGGGCGTTAGCCTGAAAATTGTAACAAATAATGCATATAAAAAGTCCTCTAATACAAATTACAATTGGAATTACCTTTCAATATCTTCAGCAGGTGGGGTATGATGCTGGTCCTTATCAGCATCAGCAAACAAATTGGCTGGATTTCGAAAAACGTGTAAAAAATTACATGCACTTCCTTTTGGACACCTATTTTGTAAATATAAACCTAAAATAAAATTATTTATCAAAATAATTATTCGCTTTTATTTTCATAACATATATAAAATTTAAAGAATTAGTGTCGACAAGAGTATGAAAATGGCTCTACATAAAAGTGGCTTTAATAAGATTTTTATGTTTTTTTTTTATTGTTGCACATAATATAATTATTCATTTTATTTATGATTACTTCACTTGTTAAGTTAGACAAAATTATTTCAGTTTCAAATTTGGCTATCTTTAGCATTTTTGCTTATTTTGTTGTATTTTCTTATTACTACTGATATATTTGATAAAAAGTGAATTAAGGTACCACTGAGATTCTGAAATTAAATTTATTTTTTTTTAATTTCAGTGGACTTTTATTGTATAATCACCGAATTTATTAATTATTTTAAAGTTATGTCTCCTTACCACAAATTGCCGATTTCCAAGATTTTACATTGCAAAACTCTACATTGAGTCTTTTACCGCCATACCAACGTCCATTAAATAACTTATAAGTCGTTACTGCTTCTCTTGTGGTCTTGTACTCAATATAAAC